TTATTTATTTATTTATTTATTTATTTATTTGGTACACAGTCTTGCTATGCAGCTCGCACTCATAGTGATCTTCCTGTCTCAGCCTTCCCAGCACTGGGATTACAGGTGTGCGCCACCATGCCCCATTTCAGTGGCCAGGATGGTGTGCGGTACCTGGGATCAAACCTGAGTCCTTGCGGCCGGGGAGATGGCTCAGTGGAATAAGTGCTTCCCTAGCAAGCGTAAGGATCTGAGTTCAATTCCTGGTTCTGCCAAAAAAAAAAAACACAAAAAACAAAAAAAAAAACCCGAGTCCTTGTGCTCACCGGACAGGTGCTTAGGCTGCTGGGCTATCTCCCCAGTCCTGAAAGAAATTTACTAGATTGAAAGCTTAGGTCTTTTATACCAATATTTCAAGACTTATTTCCATTAATCTGTTTTTATGCAAATTTACCAAAATGATTATTATTACTCATTAGCCGTAATATTTTCATTCACTATAGAATTATTCTAGTTTCAGTCTTTGTCCAGGTTATTGGAAATGAATACTGCTTTCTTTATTCCATATAGTACCCAAATTACCCTAATGTAAATACTCAAATTAGTTAAGATTTCATTTGACTAGTGCTCCCTCTGCTGGACATTCATGTGACGTTGCTTTTTCCCAGGGTACCCTTCCGCGTGTTGTAGATCATGTCTGGCAGCACCCTATTCAAAGGAATAAATTCAAATACCTGATTGACCATCCGGTCTCCCTAACCGGAGCTGCAAGGTAAAGAAGGGAAAAAGAAATTAAGATAAAGGCAGATAAATGGAGGGTCAGGACTGGATATAAAAATCATTGACTATAAAACATGCTGCATGTTTGGTAAATACTACAATCCAGAAGGACCAAGGATCACCTATTTGTGTGTGGTTATCATCAGTGGGATAGCTATAAATGCTGACTTTACATACGTTTATTTATTTATTTATTTTTTTGGCATGGATTCGTATTACATGCCCCAATACTGTCCCATTTCTTGTTTTTCTCTGCTAAAATTGACAGGGTCTGACAGGCAGAATTACATTATAACGCATTTTCTTGGTACTAGGGATTGATCCCTGCCTTCACACTGAGCTTTATACCACTTCTTTTTAAATGTATTTTGTGATTGGGTCACAGAGATGCCCGTGCTTGGATTAGATTTGTGATTCTCCTGTGTCAGGCTTCCAGAGTGCTGGGATTATAGGCAAGTGAAGCTTTTAGTGCCTCTGGGTCTTTTTGTTTTTGCTTTTATTTATTTATTTTTGGTATAGCTTGATGATAGGGAAGACCTAGAAGGACAAGTGCTGAACTTTTGGTTCTCTTCAAAGGGAACCTTTAACCTTTACATGGTTTCAGATCAAATCAGCAAATACTGTTTGTTGCTTTTTTTTTTTTTATAAATTTTATTTATTTATTTATTTGAGAGAGAGAGAGAGAGAGAGAGATAGAGAGAGAGAGAGAGAGAGAGAGAGAGAGAGGCCAGCTCAGCCCACCAGGGGGCGGGCTGGCTGGCATGTGGTGCTGGGGGATTGAACCGCGGTCCCTGATGCTTTTG